ATTGTTTTAGGTCAATTTCTGGGTTTTCTATTCTCTTCTATTGAACTATCTTCCTGTTCTTGTGACAGTACCAGGCAGTTTTGATTAGAGTGACTTTGTAGTATAACTCAAAATCTGGTAATGTGATCTCTTCTACTTTGTTCTTCTTTTTCAAGATTGTTGTGGCTTTTTGGGGTATTTTTTGGTTCCATATAAAGTTTTGGAATGTTTGTTCTAGTTCTGTGAAGTATGTCATTGGTATTTTGATGGGGATCGCCTTGAATCTATAGATTTCTTTGGGTAGTATGGAAATTTTAATGATGTTAATTCTTCCAATTTATGAACAAGGTATATGCATCCACTTTATACCTTACTATATTTCTTTTTTTCAATGACTTGTAGTTTTCTGTGAAGGGGTTCTTTACTTCTTTGATTAAGTATATTCCTAGGTATCTTAAATTTTTTGTTGCGATGGTAAATGGAATTGTCTTTTTATTTTCTCTTTCCGTGATTTCATCATTGGTGTATAAGAATGTCATTGATTTCTTGATGTTAATTTTGTATCCTGCTACTTTGCCAAATTCTTTTATTAAGTGTAGTAAATTTTTGACAGAGTCTTTAGGGTTTTCTATGTACAATATCATGTCATCTGCAAATAATGACCATTTCACTTTCTCCTTTCCAATTTGGATCCCCTTTATTTATTTTTTCCCCTGTTTAATTGCAGTGGCTAAGACTTCCAGTACTATGTTAAATAAGAATGGTGCCTGGCTGGTTTGACTAGGTGGCTAGAGCGTCAGCCTGCGGTCTAGAGGGACCTGGGTTAGTTCCTGCTAGAGGCATATACCTCGGTTGCAGTTTGTCCCTGGCCTTGGTTGGGTCATGCGGGTGGCGGCCACTCAATGTGTCCCTTTCACATTGATATTTCTCTCTTTACCTCTCTCTCCCTCCCACTCTATCTGGACAAAAAATGGAAAAATGTCCTCCAGTGAGGATTAAAAAAAAAAAAAAAAAAAAGACTGGCAAAAGTGGGCATCCCTGTCATGTTCCCATTCTTAAGAAAAATGCTTCTATCTTTTGCCCATTAAGTTCTATGTTGGCTGTAGATTTTTCATACATGGCCTTTATTATGTTGAGATATGATTCCTCTATTTCCACATTGCTGACTGTTTTGATAAAATTGGGTGCTGGATTTTGTCGAATGCTTTTTTGTCATTATTGATATGATCATATGGTTTTTGTCTTTCCTTTTGTTTATGTGGTGTATCACATTTATTGATTTGCCAATATTGTACCATCCTTGCATTCCTGGAATGAAACCCACTTGGTCATGATGAATAACTTTTTTGATGTATTGCTGGATTTGATTTTCCAGTATTTTGTTCAGGATTTTGGCATCTATGTTCATCAGGGATATTGACCTGTAGTTTTCTTTCATTGTAGTGTCTTTATCCAGTTTTGGAGTTAGGATTATGCTGGCTTCATAAAATAAGTTTGGAAGTGTTTCGTCTTTTTGAATTTTTTGGAAGAGTTTGAAGAGAATGGGCATTAGATCTTCATCAAATGTTCGGTAGAACACTCCTGTGAAGCCATCTGGGCCTGGGCTTTTGTTTGCTGGGAGTTTTTTTATTTTTTATTTTATTTTTATTACATCTTCAATTTCTTTTGTTGTTATTGGTCTGTTCAAGTTTTCTATCTCTTTCTGGTTCATTTTTGAGAGGCTATATGTTTCTGGAAATTTGTCCATTTCTCCTAGATTGTCCAATTTGTTGGCCCATAATTTTTCATAGTATGTTTTGATGATCCTTTATATTTCTGTGGTGTCAGTTGTTACTTCTCCTCTTTTATTTCAGATTTTGTTTATTTGGTTTCTCTGTTTTTGTTTCTTGGTGAGTCTGGCTAGTGGTCCATTAATCGTGTTTGTCTTTTCAAAGAACTATCTTTTTGTTTCTTTGATCTTTTAAATTGTTCTTTTAGTCTCTATGTCATTTATTGCTGCTCCGACCTTTACTATTTCCTTCCTCTTACTAGTTCTGGGATTTTCTTTTTATTTACTTTTTAATTCTTTAAGTTGTAGGGTTAGAAAGTCTATTAGAAATTTTTTTTTGGTTCTTGAGGTAACCCTGTAGTGCTATACACTTCCCTCTCAGGACTACTTTCACTGTGTCCCATAGATTTTGTGTTGTTGTGTTTGTTTTCACTGGTTTCCAGGAAGTTTTAAATTTCTTCCTTGATCTCGTTAGTAACACATTTGTTGTTTAATTACATGCTATTTAGCCTCCAAGTGTTTGAATGTTTCTGTTTTTATTGTAATTGAGTTTTAGATTCATGCCACTGTGATCTGAAAAGATGCTTGATATGATTTCAATTTTCTTGAATTTGTAGAGACTTGCTTTGTTGTCTAATATGTGGCCTATCTTTGAAAATGACCCCTGTGCACTTGAGAAGAATGTATATTCTACAGCTTTGGGGTAAAATGTTCTGTAAATATCAAGTCCAACTGATCTAGTTAGTTTTGTAAGAACTTTATGTCTTATTTAATTTTTTGTCTAAAAGATCTATCCATGGTGTCAGTGGTGTGTTAAAGTCACCCACTATGATCGTGTTGGTATTGATCTCTCTCTTGAAGTCCTCCAGAAGTTTCTAAATATATTTTGGTGCTCCCTTATTTGGTGTATGTATGTTTATCAGGTTTATATTCTCTTGTTGGATTGCTCCTTTTAATACTATGTAGTGACCTTCTCTGTCTTTTATTATGGTCCTTGTTTTGAAGTCTATCTTGTCAGATATGAGTATGGCTATGCCATATTTTCTTTCATTTTCATTTGCTTTGAATTTTTTTCACCTCTTCCCTTTCATCTTTTGTGAGTCTTTTGTTGTGAGGTGGATTTCTTATAGACAGCATATATATAAATCATGTTTTCTTATCCAATAAGCTACCCTATGTCTTTTGATTGGAGCATTTAAGCCATTTACATTTAAGGTAATTATTGATAGACTGTTATTAGTTGCCATTTTAATTTTATGCCTCTCTCTCTCTCTCTCTCTCTCTCTCTCTCTCTCTCTCGTTTCTTCTTCTTCTTCCAACAGTCCCTTCAGTATTTATTTCAGTTCTGGTTTGGTGGTGATAAATTCTTTTAGCTTTTATTTTTATCCGTGAAGATCTTTATTTCTCCTTCAATTTTGAATGATAGCCTTGGTGGATAGGGTAGTCTTGGATTCAGACCCTTGCCTTGCATTACTTTGTACACTTCATGCCACTCCCTTCTGGTTTGCATTGTTTCTATTGAGAAATCAGCTGACAGTCTAATGGGAGCTCCCTTGTAGGTAACTTTCTGTCTCTCTCTTGCTTCCTTTAAGATTCTTTCTTTGTCTTTAATATTTGTCATTTTTATTATGATGTGTTTAGCTGTGGGTCTTCTGGAGTTCATCTTGCTTGGGACTCTGTGTTTCCTGGAGTTGTGTGACTTTTTCCTTCACCAGTTTAGGAAAGTTTTGTGTCATTATTTCTTCAAACAGGTTCTCTATTCCTTTCTCTGATTATTCTTCTGGTATCTCTATAATGCAAATGTTGTTACATTTTTTTTATTGTCCCACAGCTCCCTTAAACTTCCCTCCTGCTTTTCAATGTTATTATTTTTTTCCCATTTGCTGCTCTATTTGAGTGTTTTTCTCTACCTTGTCTTCCAAGTCATGGATTTAGTATTCAGCTTCTTCTGATCTAATATTGAACCCTTCTAAGGTATTTTTTATAACAGCTATGTCATTATTTCCTCTTGAGTTTTATGCATAGCTTCTACCTCTTTTTTCAAGCTGAAGTAGTTTCCAGTGAGCTCTTCATAATTTTTATTAAGTTGTTTGTAGTTCTCACCAAATTGGTTGACTAACCTTAAAATCATTGCTTTGAATCTTTATCTGACAAGTTGTTGTCTTCCATTTCCTGTAGTTCCTTTTCTGGAGATTCTTCTTTTTATTTATTTTGGGTGTTCTTTGTCTCCTCATTTTAGCCGTCTGGTAGCTCTATACCTGCTAAAGGTTGTTTGGATGTGTATGCAGTTCACTGTATATCAAATAAGGCTTCCCAGACTGCTCTGTTGCATGTCTACTCTTGCCTGCTGTGGATCTGGAGGATTGACTGCTGGGGGCTGGTATGGGTGTGTTCTGGTAGGTGCAGCTTCTGGATCACGTGAACCCCTCTGGAGCTGTGTTCCCAGCTGGTCACTTGTGCCACCTGTAGCTGTATAACTCAGGCCCTGTTGGAGCCATGCTTTCTGCTTATATTGTGGGCAGCTGGATTGCACAGGCCTTTTGAAGACCTGACTTCACACCTATCTTGTGGGTATTTGGGTTGCACAGGCCTCTCTGGTGCCCCAGAACCCTGTAGGTTCCAGGAGCAGCTAGATTGTTTAGTCCCTTTGGAGGCCTGGTACCATGCCTATCTTGTGGGCAGCTGGGTCGCACAGGTCTCTCTGGTGCCTCAGCACCCAACAGGTCCTGCGGAAAGTTGGATTGTACTGGTACCTCTTGGGCTCCAGCTTCCCACCACTCTTGAGGGCTACTGGGTTGCACAGGCCTCTGTGGAGCACCAGGTCCCACAGCTGGTGGTTGGGGAATGCTGCTGCCCTATGGGGCTCAGCTCTTGCTCATTCTTTGCTGTAGTCTTTGGGGATGAGTCTCGGCTGCTGATCTGTGCTTCTGTTACCTGGGGATGGATTTCTGCTTTCCAGTCTCTGTTGCTGGGGGAATATGTCTACTCTGATTGGACTGCAACTGTGGGGGATGGTGCTGCGCTCCTGGATGTTTGTGGCTTCTGTAACTGGCACCTTGGCAGCTCCACTACTGTGCATTAGTCTGTGTTGACACAAGGTGTCCCCTGGCTTAATGGTGCCAGGTGCACTGGTGGGCTCAGGTTGCTGGGCCCTAGCCACTCCCACTGCCTCCTCCCAGGGAAGACCTGGGATCTTCCAAAATGCTGGGACCTTTCAGTGGTGCAGGGCAAAGTGCCCCGAAGAGCTGCTTACCACAGTAACCAGCTGTTTTCATCCACAACACAGGCACCTTCTGCTCCACATCTTTGCACTGCACGAGTTTGGCCATCCACCCTCAAGTCCACTCACACTATCTCACACACTAGTTCACTCTGTCACACACTCACCCTCCCTCTGGTCCTTTCTGCTGCCATCTTTTTCCCTGGTTATTTTAAAATATACAGTAGTCTCATTTTTTAAAAATGTGTCTGATCACCATCCTCCTTTGAAATTTTTGACATTTGCTCCCACCCCTTTTATGTTTCTGTTGTTGCAAATTATGCCTGTTTATGCTGCAAGTTTGTTGGTGATCTTACTCATACTCATACTTGTGTGACCTTTTTTTTCTTTAGGTAGAATAACCCCTTTGAGTATTTTCTGCATTGGAGGTCCTCTGCTGATAAATTTCCTCAGCTTCTGCATGCTTGGGGGAAAATATTTTTTCTTAATATCTAAAGAACAATTTTGCCAGATATATTAGTGTTGGATGGTTATTTCCTCTTTTGGTCATTTGAAAGTTTGGTTTTATTATCTTCTAGCTTGTAGAGTTTAGGCTGAACAAGTTCAATGATAACTTAATGGGCTTTCCTTTGTAGGTTACTTTCTTCTTTTCCCTGAATGTCTTGATAATTCTTTTTTTGTCATTATTTTTTGACAGTTTTAATACAATGTGCTCTGGAAAAAGCCTTTTTGGGTTGAGGTAACTAGGTGTCCTGTTAGCTTCTTGGATCAAAAATCTAGTTCTTTCCACAGGTTTGGGAGATTCTCATCAAAAGTGTGTTTAAATAGTTTATCTGGTCTTTTTCTTTTCTTTTTCTGATATGCCTATTATTCTTTTATTGCTCTTTCTGATGGAGTCATATAGTTCTCATAAAGTTCTTTCATTTTTTTTACTGATTCAGTCTCTCTCTTCTTTCCTCTGTGTCATTTCTAGACTTCTGTCTTCTGTATTACTAAGTCCTTTGTCCATTTTATCTGCTCTATGTTCTATGTTCATTCTTGATCTCTTTTATTGGTATCTTAATCTTAAATATTTCTGTTTGGTTCTCTTTTAAGTTTTAATCTCTTTGGTAATGTACTCATTTTGTTTGTTGATTTGTTTTATGTGGACATTAAATTGCTTATTTGTATTTATTTGCTCTCATTGAGTATTTTTAGAAATGCCATCTTGAATTCTCTGTGACTTGTTTATATATTTCTATATCTTTACGTTTGTTTTCTGGATATTTTTTATTTTCTTTTGAGCTGCCTCTCTGTCTTGGTTATTTATGGTATTTGCTGTGTTCCTCCTTTATCTAGGCATATATGTATAAGTGGTATTTCTCTAACACATTAATAGAACGGTCTTTCAGTTTGCAGAACTTTCAAGTCAAAATGGTGGCATAGGTGAACACGGTCTCACCTCCTTTCACAGCCACATCAAAATTACAACTAAACTACAGGCAACTATAATTTAGAACTGCCTGAAATCAAGCTGAATGGAACTCCTACAACTACTAAGTTAAAGAAGAAGCCACATCAATACTGGTAGAATGGGCGGAGGTATGAACATTCTGGTCCCACACCCATGTATGGAGGATAAAAATCAGGAGGCTACCTGAGCTGGGAAGGTACTCCCTGAGGATTGAGGGGTTCCTATCCCACACCAGGCTCCCCACTCAGGGTTACAGTGCCAGTAAGAGAAGTCCCCATAACTTCTGGCTGTAAAAACAGTGGGGATAGAAACTGAGAAAGGCTGAGGCTGCTGGATCTCCAGGCAGCTTTTTTTAAATAGCTCACACATGGACTTACTTGGACTCACATTTTCTGAGCTCCAGAAACTGGGAAGACAGCTTGAAAGGCAACAGAGACATACAGTGAAGAACTGAGATGTTTGGCATTTGGCAGGAAGTGGAGGAGCAGCTTTCTCCTGGGCAGTTTTGTTCTGGGAGGCCATTGTTTCTTTGGTGAGCCCTTCCTTGGGGCAAGAAACAATTGCCATATATGAGACTCGAGCAACCTGGCTCACACTGTTTTCCTCACCCTGGTGATTCCCTGAGGTGCTGCCCCACCCAACTTTCAGGGCCACTCAAGCTGTTTCCAATGGCTTTACCATAGGATTGGCCTGTCTTGAATCCTGCTTCAGATTTTGCTAGAATCTCTCAAACAAGCAGCATCTAGTTTCAGAGAGCCCCATAGCTCTCATCATGTGACCCCAGACCTAGCACTAGAAGCAGCCAGCTTTGGTTCAAACTTGGCTTTTCCTGAGCACCTCCAAGCCCAGCACAAGAAGCAGCCATCTTCAGATCCCTTTGAAGCTTATGTCTGGTGGCCCCAGATAGAGCACAGGCAGTGGCTGACCTTGCCCCGGAGCCAGCACACCCAGTGGACAGCTTCAGACCACATCAAAGTACTACTACCCAACCACCTCTACAATGACACATTCAATCAGTGGACTCAGTGGGTACCAGAGTCCTGCTAAAGTAAATCTTGCACTTTGTGCTGGACCCCAGCACAGCTGATTCTCCAAGGCAGTCAGAGGTCAGTGGTCAGTGGTCAGTGGGCAGAGCCAGTTCTTACAGCTGATTAGCCTGAGTAAATGCCTCCCATTGACAAGCCACACAAAGCAATCAAGACTCAATTATAACAGAAGGGTGTAAAGTCCACACTAGAGGTGAACCTTGAGGATTCAGCTGGGGTAATCAGGGAGGCTATGCCACTGGACCCTACAGGACACATACAAAACTAGGAGATATAGAAATTATACTGAATACATAGATACAAACACATGGAAGCAGCCAAAATGAGGATACAAAGAAACATATTCCAAGTAAAAGAACAGAACAAAATTCCAGGAAGAGAACTAAACAAAATTGAAATAAGCAATCAATCAAATGCAGAGGTCAAAACACTGGTTATAAGGATGCTCAAGGAACTTAGCAAAACCTTCAAGAAACTTAAGGAGAGCATCAACAACATAAAAAAAGAACAAGTCAGAAATAAAGGAAGCACTAACTGAAATAAAGAGTAATTTACAAGGAATCAATAGTAGAGTAGGTGAAGCCAAGAAGCAGACCATCTATTTGAAATATAAAGAAACATAAACCACCCAATCAGAACAGCAAAAAAAAAAAAAAAAAATCCAAGAAAGTGAAGATAGTATAAGGAGCTTCCAAGACAACCTCAAGCATACCCATTATGGAGGTGCCAGAAGCAGAAGAGAGAAAGCAAGAAATTGAAAACCTATTAGAAAAAATAATAACAGAAAATCTTTCCCTAACTTGGTGTAAGAAACAAACATACAAGTCCAGGAAGCACAGAAAGTCCAAAACAACATAAACCCAAAGAGATACACACTAAGACACATCATCATCAAAATGCCAAAGTTTAAAGACAAAGAGGGAATCTTAAAAGTAGCAAGAGAAAAGCAGTTAGTTACCTACAAGGGAGTAACAAAATAGTCAAAATGATAAAAAGCAATGACTTGCAACCAAGATTACTAACTCTTCTTAGTTCAATTTTGAGAGACTGTGTTTCTAGAAATTTGTCCATTTTACCTAGATTGTCCAACTAGTTGGAGTATAACTGTTCATAATATTTTTTAACGATTCTTTGTATTTCTGTGATGTCAGTTGTTACTTTTCCTTTTTTATTTCTAATATTGTTTATTTGTGTCCTCTCTCTTTGTTTGTTCTTGGTGAGTCTAGCTAAGGGTCCATAAATCTTGTTTACCTTTTTAAAGAACCAGCTCTTTGTTTCATTGATCTTTTGAATTATTATTTTGTTTGTTTCTTTGTTTCTGTGTCATTTATTTTTGCTCTGACCTTAACTATTTCTTGCATGCTACTTTCTCTGGGTTTTTCTTTTTGTTTAATTTCTAGTTATTTAGGTTGCAAGGTTAGATAGTCAATTAAAATTTTTATATTTTATTTTATTTTATTTTATTATTTTATTTTATTTTATTTTATTTTATTTTATTTTATTTTATTTTATTTTATTTTATTTTACATAGGCTTGTAGTGCTATGAACTTCTCTGTCAGAATTGCTTTCACTGTGTTCCATAGATTTTGTGTTGTTGTGTGTTTTTTTCACTGATGTCCAGCAAGTTTTAAATTTCTTCCTTGATCTTGTTAGTACCACATTTGTTGTTTAATAACATGCTATTTAGCCTCCAAGTGTTTGAATATTTGTTTGTTTGTTTGTTTTTTGTTTTGGCTGTAATTTATTTCTAGTTTCATGCCACTGTGCTCTGAGAAGATTCTTGATATAATTTTAATTTTCTTGAACCTTTAGAGACTTAGTTTGTGCCCTAACATGTGGTCTATCTTGGAGAATGTCCTATGTGCACTTGAGAAAAATGTTAATTCTGTAGTTTTGGGGTGAATTCTCTGTAGACATATATTAAATCCATTTGATCTACTGTATCATTTAGAGACTGTTTCCTTGTTCATTTTTTGTCTAGAAGATCTCTCCAATGATGTCAAAGTGCTGCTGAAGTCCCCTGCTATGATTGTTGATATATCCTTTGACTTTCTCCAGAAGTTTTTAAATGTTTTTGATGCTTATGGTAGGTGCATCTTCCTGTTGGATAGATCTTTTCAGTATTATGTAGTGGCATTCTCTGTCTATAGCTATAGCCTCCATTTTGAGGTCTATTCTATTGGATATGAGCATTGCTTCCTCAGCTCTTGTTTCTTTTCCATTTGCCTGGAAGGTTTGTGTCCATCCATTCACTTTCAACATGTGTGTCTTTTATTGTGAGGTGGGTCTTTTGTAAAGAGCCTATATATGAGTCAGGCTTTCTTATCCATTCAGTTACTCAGTCTTTTTTTTTTTCTCCATATTTTTTTATTAATTAATTTTTCTTACAGATGTTTCTCCTTTTTCCGCCACTGATTCCCCCTCCCCCTCCCTCCCTGCCCTTTCCCCAGTTTGTTGTCCATGTCCACTGTTCATGCATAAATGCATATAAGTTCTGTGGTTCATCTCTTCCCCACCACCCCCCTATTTAGGGGATTGTCAGTCTGTATCTCATTTCCACATCTCTGGGACTACCCCCTTCCTCAGACTGTTATGTTCATTATATTCCA